AATTTTCGTCTGCTGTTTTGTGCCCATGTTCTTATGGCACCTTTTCTATGTATATATTTCAATGACCGCTAAAAGTGCCGAAATGCGTCGAATTTTTTTTTTATTCATGCCTTGTATCTTTTTTCTTTTTGAATGTGGCTGCTTGTTTTTTATTATCATTATTATTGTACTGTTTTTGCTTCCTACGTAATGCCCTTGATGACCTTTAGCGTACATAAGTAAATAAATAAAATACCCATTTTCAGCCTGCTATAAATATTTTGTGTTTGCGGAATATTTAATTTAAATACAAAACAAATCCAGAAAAAACATCAAATGGTAGACAAACTAGGAAATATTTGGGATATCTTTCTTGCGGGAAAGGTTTTTAAATCATAATTGGGAAATCGATGTGATTTAAATTACGATTTAAATCATGATATAAATCATAATTTAAATCATCTTGATTTTTATTTCCACCTTGGGTGAAACCCGGCTGTTGTGTTGCAAACTATGAGTTGTTTTAAAAATCCCGAAAATTTCTCATCACAATGACATATTCGTCCCCGAGGAGGCTTGGAGTACTTCTACGTGTATGATTTGCTTACACTAAAGTAAAAGAAATTATACGTCGTGCGCTCGTGATTTCCTTTCACAGCGCTGGTAGTCATTACTGCTTATTGCTGGCTTCAGACTATCAGTCTGACGGTGTAAAATAACCCCAATAGGGACTACGGAGTAACACTCGTTGCATGTATACCACCACAATGTGAGATCATATAACGTCAGTGGTGACGTGATATGATCTCTTCGTGCGGTTTTCTCGCTTGCCAAGGAGGCGAGAACACGCTTCTTGGTCGGTGTCTATGAAACGCCGAACTAGTAATTTTCTAGACAAATTAATAGTGTATATCGTTTTTTTTTACTGCAGCGCACACGACGACGCAATCTAGTAGAATACTGTTATACCACCGCGGCCTTGTCAATACGCAGTGTACCACAACAGTTCTTGAAATCTTCCTACCCTACCGAAAAATCCGGTATAACTTTTCACTATCCGGATTATGGAACTGGAAATTTGTTTCTGGAAAACCGAAATCCAGATTGCAGACAAAGGAATAATTTATGAAAATCTAAAATCCATTTAGAGTCCAGGTAGAATCCAAATAAAATTCCGGTTCCATAATCCGGATAGCGAAAAGTTATACCGGACTTTTCAGTAGGGTAAGGACTTACTGTGAGTCCTGATCAAGAACGATAGTGATGACACGATTTTGTAGGTGGCTATAATTCCTAACTTCTTCACTACACCAAGCGCCACAACGGGTTTCTGAAACATACCCTCACCAAGACTTACGGAGAGGTAGGAAGGAGTAAGACCTTATGACAGAGCCGGCCTTAGAGCAGCAAGTGCCCTGGGCAAACTGCGGCTGTGGCGCCCCCCCCCCCCCCCCCCCCTTTACCCCCCGCCTATTTTCGCACCCAACATCACGTTGTTAGTAGACATGCCAGAGTGACCCATGGGTCGCGACTTTGTCGTTGTCAGTCGAGAACCACATCCGAACGACGTTCGCGAGCATTGAGAGTTCTGTCGGCACCATGTTCAAATGGTTCAAAACACAGATATTTCTCAGATTAACCAAATTTCAGCAGTGGGTCTCCCATAGCCAGCTAACGTCTGGCTATGGGAGAGAATTAGGCTACAGCTTGCGACATATCCAGGATAGAAGCTATCCAGTTTTCAATGGACAAAATTGCCAATGGCAATAGTCTGGCATCTGCCATGGGTAATCTTAGGTATGTCTTATTAAACTTTAATTTCGAGAAACTCCTCTCAGCGGTGATTACTGACACTGGCTAAGTGAGGAGGATCACCAGCTCACCTCCCCACTGGCAAAGTGAGTGGGTGAGCTGGGTGGTTGCTACGATGTCCTTCATGCTCTTACTTACAACATTAACTTGAAAAAGAATGTCGTACCACATAACAATGGAAACGAGAAACTTAAGGTATGTGAGCTGCCCTTCAAAGAGTTCAAGCTTCATGTCGGACGCCAGGGTTTTAGCGGTTTTCGGGATTTTTGCGGCGGGTTTCTGAATTTTGAGTGGGCAACACTGATCGGCATTGCGAGTCCGGACTCGTCGCTGGTCGCTCATACACACAAAAAAGAAAACACTGCGGACCCAAAGTTCTTTGCACATAATATTTTCAGTCGGGTTGAAGCCTCTAGGCACAGAGGCTCACCGCATGCCGAGGAGGCATCGGTTCGTTTAGCCTACTGCTAGAGACTCCACAACGAGCGAATGTCGGGAGGAATCAGGTTCATTTTACCACCGGTCAGACCTTCTGAGCGAAGGCATACTTCGGCTCAGAATAACTTCGCAAAGGGCGAAGCCTACATTTTCTGCGAGCCAATCAGAGACTCTGAGCGAAGCACGGGATAACTAAGAGCAAAAATCCGTTTCAATAGCATTTTGCCACGTGACTCGCTCCGACACACTGATTTGCTCGCCGATCAGCTTGGCGCCACCGTTTGGTAAGTTGCGCTAAGAATGCGGCATGCTGGCTTCATCGCTTCTTGCGAGTCAGATTTTGCTCCGCCCGTAATATGAACATGGTTAAAATCGCGCACAAAGAGACGAGGACAAACGAGGAAGGAACACAGAACACAGACAGGCGCGCACTCATAACTCTAGTATATTAAGTGAAGAAGAGAAAGATTAAGCACTATTTTTTACAGGGGACAACGTCACCAGGGGGAAACAGATCATCCGCAGTCAAATGATCGCAAGAAGGCAACTTCTTTTTCGCTCAAAGCTACCGACGGCTGACTAACGCAGCGATCGGTCAGGTTCAAGATGGTGAACGCCTCGAGCGCCTCGCGCGTTTGTTTTTCTTTAAAGCAGCCAATGATTGATGTTTTTTTCTAAAGATGGTGTGCACATACAAGTTCTACAGTGCACCGAAAGGTGACCTCCTACATTGGATGTTAAAGCAAGTTTATGCTCTCGTAGCCGGTCATTCAGACACCGTCCCGTCTGTCCTACATAGCATCTTCCACATGAAAGAGGAATGCTATATACAACGCCCGATGAAGAGGGAACAAATGGCTGCACATGTTTTTTGTGGCACGTGTTTTTTGATAATTTTTCCGCCTTTTCACGAACCTTAGAACAAATTTGTCGCATTTTTTTAGGGGCTGATAGTACTACGGGCACACCATACCTGCTGGCCACTTGTTTTAGGTTATGCGATATTTTGTGTAGGTATGGCATAACCACCACCCGGTTTTTTTTTTTTTTCAACTGGGCGCCTAGTTTTTTCACCCCCTTTTACATTCTATACCAGCGTTCCTATCACTTCGATTAAGACCTGATTCGGGAACCCTGAAGATTTTAGTCTTTCGATCTGGCCCAAGAAACTCCGATGAATGGCATGGAAACATGACTTTTTGGGGGCTGAGGTGAGGCAAGAGATAGCAATGCCTCTCTTCACCACCTTGGAGTGCGAGGATGTGTAGTGAACAATACTTTTTTTGGAACGTGGTGAGAATGCCCAGCACAAGTGATCGGCGTGCAGTGAGAGGGAAAGGTCTAAGAATTGCAACGCCCCTTCGTTAGGCTTCACAAAAGTAAAGGTGAGCCCAAAACTGCACGTATGAAAAATGTCCATAATCGTAGTAACTAAATCTTGATCCGCAGTCTTTTTGTACAGTAAAAGAAAATCATCTACATATCTGAACACGTCGGTGACAGGCGTGGACTTAATAGCTAAAGCAATGGCACTTTCGATACTCGCAAGAAAAATATCACTTAAGACTGGCGCGACACAAGACCCAATACACACCCCCGATTTTTGTAAAAATACCCAGTTTTGCCATCCGACGAATGTGGAATTTAAATAAAACTGCAGTAGTTCAAGAAAACTGTCTGTAGTCACTCCCCTTGAGTTCCGGAAAGCGATTTCGTCTTTTGTGTTCTGTGTTCCTTCCTCGTTTGTCCTCGTCTCTTTGTGCGCGATTTTAACCATGTTCAACGTTTACCAACTCGCTCAACTTACTACTCTTCTACGTAATTTGAAACCTGTGCGGAGGTGATCGCTTGCCTAGTCGTTCAAGATTCATTGCATGGCGCTTTGAATTTCACGGAGAAGAGGTCCTCTATAGTAAAACATCCGCAGGTGGCTATGAGTTGATGGACTCCAGTTATAACAAAAACTAAGTCGTTGGTTTTGCGCCCGAAATACCAAACGGCAAGCGCCACCACCTTTTTCTACTTTTTTTTTTTTTTTTTTTTTTTTTTTGGGGGGGGGGGGGGGGGGGGCGTTTTACGCGGTTTTGTTTTTATCACCTCGAAGTTTGAGCTCTGCATGATCTGGCGGCCCTTTCGGCGCCCCCCTATGAATGGCGCCCTGTGCGGCTGCACAGGTCGCCCACCCCAAAGGCCGGCCCTGCCTTATGAAGGACTTGCTTGATGGCAGAATTCTGTGGGCAGCTACAATTCCTACCTTCTTCACTACATCATGTACCACGACGATTCTCCGAGGCGTATCTTCATTGGGACTCACTGAGACGTAAGCTGTAATGTAGGACTTCCGTGATAGCTCAATTTTGTAGGCGGCTATACCATCCCTGCCTTTTTTACTACACCACAAACCACAACTGTTCTTTGCAAGATATCTTAATCGGAGCTTACTGAGACCTAAGTGCTGATAAGGGACTTACGTGATGGCATATTTTATAGGCTGCTACCATCCCTGGCTTCTAAACTACACCACGAACCACAGCAAATCTCCGAAACATACCCTCGTCAGGACTTACTGAAAGGTAAAACCCGATGAAGGACATACATCACGCTACAATTTTGTAAGCAGCTACCATCCCTGCCTTCTTTGCGTACCAAAAGATAAGAAGACTTACTGAGACGTAAGTCCTGATGAACACCAACTCAAAACTTACATATTTCTGTGTCATTATCGTTCGATGATGGGTTTGAAAACTCCTTGGACTCAGTTTTCCACTCACCTGTCCTCCTGCACACCTCTCGTCGACGGTGCGCACATGAGGAAGAACCAGAGGGCTATGATGCTGTACACGAAGGACGCCAGCATCGCAAACAGGACAAAGTTGCAGAGGCCGTGACTGCTCCACTCGGTCCGAGCCAGGTCAATCCTACAGTTGCCGGTCTTCTGGCTGATTTCCAACCAGGGCTTGGAGTAAAGCATGCACTTGTCCATGTCGATCTGGAGGGTTCTGTTCATGCCGCGGTAGCTGAGCAGGGCCCCCAGCGACGTGCCGATGGCGCAGACGTAAATGATTACGTGCGTTATTCTCCACGTTTGTACGTTCTTCTGTTCTGGCATATTAGCGCACGAAGTCGTTCGTAACCTCGTCTAGCTCGAGACCACCTGAATGTTTGGCATCTGGACGTTGCTGGATCTGTAAGCTTTAAGCAGACAAGACAATCAACTCTCAGAACGATAGCTATGATGCCCCAATGGTTATGCTGGCTCAGTACAAAAGGAGTGGACACGTTTTGGCCATTGAGATCAAAGTACAAGTTGGAGCATGGTATCGATTGCCCTTTCCATCGGTTAAACTGAATAAGCTTAAGTTATATTAATGATTGGCTCCCACAATGTATCGCGGTCCAGTATGCAATCAGGGACTTCAAAGAGTGTACGAGCGAAATAACGCTATAAATAAATGCCTGCGTGTTTGCTTTAGCGCAAAGCACGAGGTGGTTTATTTATTTAGATCACTTAATAATTTGCACGGCTTAAAACTGATGTCAAACTTGCGGCCATTGTGGTGGTTTTGGGCATGACCTCTTCCATCATACACATCGTACCACCGATTATGTTTTTTATCGGCAAGAACAAAAATGGCCACCAGCCTGGTTCGATGACATCACGCAAGTGCAACCTGTGTGTAGTGAATGGAGAGGTGAAAGGGGTGTCTTGGTTGAAAAATGCAGATGACTGATGTCAATTTGAGCATAATGTATCGTTTACTGGCTCATCCAACGGGTAGCCTAACAAGTTTGATATCTACCACTGATCAACCCTAGTTGTGCTCTGCAGATAAAATGACGTGCACGTGTATTTAGGGCTTAAGTCAGCAGGAGAGTGGGACAACGTCAATAATATTTTTGGCTCTCGCTTACCGTGAGGCCGGACGTGTTGTCGAGTCACACTGGTGCCGTTCTTGATGTCTCTCTTATGATATTTTATCAACACGACGTTCCACTTGTCCGCCGCGTGAACCCAGCTAGTCGCGAACAGGGCACGCGGGAGAGGTTCCATAAAGGTACGACACCTGACGGTCAATCTGCAATGCTTAAATGAAGCAGAAAACAAAAACGAAGTTTCATGATTTGCATCACTGATCACTGAACCGTCTTTTCGCGCACTTTGAGGAAACGTGCAATAAATTCCAGAGAATTGAATCTTACTTCTGAGCTCGCTGTAGCATCAACATATTTCGTTAATTTCTAGCATCTCGCACGGAGAAAGCTTATATGGCCAATGATTCAGCTCGATCGTTACGAAAAAAATGTCTGCCGATCATGTCTGGCGGGAAGTGTACAACAAAACAAGGGCCGACCACAGTTTAACTCCGCACGTTCCGTTCGTGCACCTGTAGTGTATGTCTGTACATCAGATGGATACGCGAACATATTTCTAGGTATAACAAGCGCATAGACCATTACCGCCAACAGTTGGTGCCGCCGGTCTCCCAGCTGGATGTATTTGCGACACTTGAATTTCAGCGTCGCAAAGTATCTCCCACATGTATTTGTAACCTCTTGCATTTAATGTGCACGCGCGCTTCCCAGGCAACCAGTGAAAATGAGCGCAGCCGCTGTTTCGGTCAGGAATGATATCTTTACGCCGTTCAAACAGGACTGCTAAAAACTGCTCTTTATGAAAACAAAACATCAAGCAGGAGTGTTTTTAAACGCGTATAAATGTGGTCTACAAATCGAAATCGTCAGATACAAGTATGGCGTCTATCGCATAACTTGTCTTTGGCATTCGCACGTCGGTAGTAATATCAATCCCGTTGCCTCGCAGTAACATTGACTCTTGGTGTTATTCAACGTTACTAAAGCAACTCAGTTGGAAACTGCCATAGAGCCTGCTTTGAAAAAGGCTTCGATCCGAACTAACCGAACTAATATAAAGCCATGTTTTAAAAGTAGCGCAAGGTTCGTCGATGCACGAGGCACGTGCAACGTGCAGCCCTTGGGAAGATCATGGCGGCACAGCGCAGCACTGAGCTAGATTTCAGACGCCATGTTCTTCCCAGAAGTGGCGCGCGGCACGCCTCGAGTATTTCCACAATGAATGGCGCCACTTTTCTCAGGATAGGGGGGCATTAAACTAATTGCGACTGCAACGCCGCCATTTCTCCCGCAGCGGCTACTCCAGGAACTGCACGTCTGCGTGTATCGGTTTAGATCGAGTCGCACAAGGGCTGGTGGCGCCATCTCGTATTGCCATTTCGCAGTATCAAAACAAATTAACTTTCATGTTAGGACTAGTCGCTAAAGGGTAGCGCGGTTATCGTATTTAGTTTAAAATTTAGTTTGGTATCGGTGGAGGCGAGCGATCCGGATTTCAAGGGTGAGTTTCCCAACCGAGTGTTTTTGTCCAGTTGGTGTTATTGGAACGTCTGCGTTTGATGCGAGCTATAGACATAACAAATACATTACTATACCTGTCAAAGTCCGAGTAGGGTGCATGATCAATGAAGAATAATCAGGAGGCTCCCTTCGGTAACAAAAAAAAAAAAAGAATATTTAAACGCAGTTTAGAGTACGTCAAAAACAACCACTGTCCCAAAATCGGAAACATTTAACAACTTGTCGTGCCTGATATAGTAAAGAAAAACATCCTCGTCACGTCCTGGATTATCAACGCGCAATCAAAGAGATATAGCTTCTAGTGCACGAGCAAGACGACGACGAAATCATTCCATTGTGTGAGACCTCGTGCAAGGCCGTTGACTGGTGGTCCAGCTCAGCAGCTCGTTGCCGTCTCAGAATGGTAAGAGGACTACAAGCTCACCTGCGCGTACATCTCCGTACATCACTCAACGAGTAGTCATTTCTATTTTCTCGTAGTAATCGGCCCAATGTTTCACCACTCGTGTCTAAAAAATGACTCGAGCCACCTGAGAAAACACTTTGAGCGTTCTCTACTAATTAGCTCGTCTTGTTGGAAAAGCTCGTCTCAATTTTTATGAAAAAAATGTCGTGGAACGTCTCCCCTCTGCATTTAGAACGCAAGGGTCAATGATGCATCGTCACTGGACGCGCGCTATAGCGGGTATTGACGCCATATTTGAAGGGGCTGTTTATAGCGCATGTTTAAAACGAGCTCAGATTTGTAGGCTGCTAAAACCGGCAATCTTGATGGTGTAGAATGCACGTTGCAAAATGACTGTGGAAGCTCGCCTTCAGCACGGTTCAGGAGTCGCGCACACAACTATAGCCGCCACTGAATACTCCCTTTACTAAGTCGCCCTTAAAGCGCTATCAACGCTACAAACCACTAAAAAAAAGAAAAATCTGCGCTAAGAGCGCAAGGTTGCAGCGTCTTTCGCGTTTTTCTACGCGTATGTGTCCGCCAACTCATTTAATGAAAGCCAAACTACAACCTGCCCACCGCACCCCCCCCCCCCCCCCAGTACGCTCCCCACGGACAAATACAAACACAAATTCGGGTTTTTTTGTTTTTTTTTTTTTATCGTAAAATTTAACTATGCGTCGCCAAACGAGTATATAGTATATGTCGTGGCATTCCCTTTTTGGTCTGCCCATTTGTGTTTCTGTTGCTACCAGCTCTGACAGCTGGCCTTGAAACAACGACAGAGAGGTCAATTGACAGGTCGCAGTAAATAGGGAATATTTTGTAAGCTATATTTTACAGTTTCGGTGTCCCGAACTCTCCATAAAAAAAAAAAAAAAAATCTTTCAGCCTTTCCACTCTGGTGAAGAAGTAAGACCAGCGAAGCTGTGCAACGATTGCTGTGCAAGTAATAATGGCCGTCCGCAAGTCGGCAAGCCAGAGTGGAAAGCCTGGAAAGGTTGCCGCCATCTATGAGCGACGGCGGCAACCAGACAACCGGCAAACACAACACTTTACAAAACTCTGGACAGCTACCGCCATCTATGAGCGACTGCGGTAACCTGAGTGTGGTGTCGACATTTGGTTGGTACCGGACACGATCCTGAGGAACCTAGCCCGTAACAGCTCCGCTGTAAAACAGTATCGCCGAGTACAGTACCGGCAGTAGCGTGCCTAGTTATGTAGCGCTAGTGCCAGTGTGAGAGCACCAGGGGGTGATAATATCTACCAGGGGCTAGAGTGCCTTCATGCTCGCTTGAAGCGGGACATGAAGGCACCCTACCCGGGGCAGCAGTGTCGCTTAGAAGTCAAAGGCCTGCGCATGACGTCATCGTTAGTGGATCGCCGACCCGCCCCCAAGCGGCAAACACGCTAAAGCTCGGCGAGGAGACGGCACAAAGCAGCAGTCGCGTCCGTCTTGCCTTCTCCGCGTGCTTCCGTCGCGCTCATTGTGAGACGTTGCCAGACGCACTGGCGACATTGTTGGCGAAAGCTCGCTTGCCTGAATCCACAACTGATGACGTTTTGGGGGGAAGTGTGCAGGCCTGGTTTCTCATATGTGGTATTGGCCGAGTCCGTTGCTGCTCAGAGCACGTGATCAAATAATGGCGGATTCGGATAACCGGCGCAGCAGGTACCACATAGAGCGAAATTTCGGAAAGGTTTTATTCTCTTCAATTACTTTCTCAGCTCTGGTGTTCAACAGAAGCATACTATGCGTGACAACCTTGAGCGACTGATCTCCTAGAAATCTCAGTAAAACGTTCTTGAGACATGTGCACTTTTTTCTTTTTTTCTTTTTTTTTTTTTTGCAGTCCCGAAACTCTTTAGGTAAGCGACCAATAGGAGCAGGGGAATGTTGAGAATGTTTTAATTAAGAGGTGGTGGTTCTTCCCTTAGGAGGTGGCACCGTGAACATCAGTGTCTCCGGGAAGATGTTTGAGGTAGACTTAGACCTTCTGAAGCGACAGAGTTGCTACTTCGCCAAGTGCTTCCACAAGCTACCTCAAGAGGCTCTTAGAATACCGGTGGGTGACATTTCAATCGATTGCGATTTTTTTTCCAAAAAAAATCATGAGCCACTCCTTTTTGTGAAGATGGATGATCAGCGAAACTGTTTAGCACACGACACAGACCCGCCCCGAGGAGCCGGAGGAAACTAGACACACGCAACGGGACCGCCACCTCGGTAGAGTGAAAGCAAAGGAAACTAGACACGCAAGCGCTTGGAACGACGACAAAGAGAGGGCGGTGCGAGCGTAAACATGGCCGATGCGGGTCGCACAGTGGGAAATCTTTGAAAAACATTTATTATCTACCCTCGAGTCTACTGATCTTGAAAAGGGTGCCTATTGACAACTAATCTCCTGAATAGACCTGTTGCTATATTACCCGAGCATCAAGGAGAATACAGGAAATGGTGTTCCACGCGCCGCATGTGCCGGCGTTTGTAACAGTGACTGTTCTAAAGCAAAAAAAGCCTAGAGCAAATGACATTTTGCACTCGCGTTCGTCAATTTATTCTAGTTATTTACTTCAAACATAGTTATTTACGCCGCGTGTGACGGTGCGAGCGTAGAGTTTTTAGTCACTGCACACGAAAAATCCACGGAACCTTAGCCATAAACAGCTTCGCTGTGAAAATTGCGCAGACGATTATGAGACGTGATGCGAAAGGACAGCGTGAGCTGGTGCGACATTTCAATGATATTGCGTCGTGATTGACTGGACATTTCGATGATGTAGCATCGCGCAGTGTCTCGTGCGCTGAACCACAACCGATCTCAAAGGTAACAGCTATATCACCAAGCACGCTCTCGTGGACGCGCTGCACAAAGTGCTCGCTCGCACCTGCGTGTCAATCCCTCGCTCGATACGTTATCTTTTACGTGCCGCTTCACATTCACGTATACAGCTTCATCCTGACGTCGAATGCGTTCCATCCAAACACCCAGGGTCAGACCGATCGGTGCCTACACATCGACGACGTTTTCTCTCACCGGCGCGTTCCGCTGCCTTACGCCGTGAAGCAGCCGATGCTTTCCTCGGCGTATGTTGTTTCGGCCGCCCCATTCTAGCGCGCGAAGGCATAAAGCGCCGAGGGAACGACAACTGAAGGCGAGAAGGAGCTGGTGGCGAGGAGCGTGATCACGTGACCCCCAGCGCAGTCTCGATCGTCCGAATGCGCTGCGCCTCCAACCGCGAGGGTATCACCGCTGTACTCGCCCCCTCCCGGTGCCAAAGCCATCGGCGATAAACGCGAGCATGCTCCGTTCGTTCTTGCCAACACGACACTCGTCCAGTTCAACATAACACAGTACATCTGAGTCTGTAAAAATATTTTTCATGACTCGAACGTTTCAATTAGAAAATCAATTGTAGTCAATGACAGCTGGACGTGGTCTATTATCGTTGCGCCTATTGTTTCGTCATTTGTTCTTGGCCGTTTCTATCCGCTAGTGTAACAAACCTGATTAGCTACAGAGTGATAACAAGTCACTCCGGACTTATAACAGCTGAAGGGGTCAGTGACCTTAGATGTCAGAATAGGCCAAAAGTATAGTGACTCAGACTGCTTTGTTACAAGACTCGATTGCACTCAAAAGCAAATCTGTGAACAGCCCCTGAAATTTCCAAGCCGTAGGCGTGAACCTTAAAAGCAGCTCTTTGGGCTTTTCAGCTAGAGCTGCAGGACGTCAAGCCGGAGGTGTTCGAGGCTCTGCTGCTCTTCATGCAGACAGGTTACCTGGACGCCGATCCGTTCACAGCCCTGGACCTCTACGAGGCGGCAGTTTTACTCGGAGTCCACAAAGCCATCAAGGAGATAAAGAGAGTGAGCGCGTTGCAAGTGTAATACAGAATGTGTTTGATCAGCCGACTTGTACGAGAAAATCGTCACAAGGGACCGTCACAAAGACCTATCATGAAGCACCGTCACGAAGAACCGTCACGTCGATTTCTACGCTAAATTTAACGGGGAAAGCAATGTCGCGTGGCGTCAATTTTCCTGCTAAGCCTAGCCAAAAAGAATGATGTCGCTGACATCGAATTCCCCGCTAAATGTTCTGGAGACGACGACGTCACATGACCACATCATGTGTCCTGAAGTCAAGTGATGTCAATTTCTGCGAGGTGGTTCTGCGAGGTGGCAGTTTGCGCCAACAGATGTTGTGTTCCACGGTCTTTGTAAGCAGTGGTGTACCAACTTGTTTTTGAGTTGGGGGGGGGGGGGGGGGGGGGCAAACCAGACCCACCTCCAAGGACCGGGGAAGGTGCCCGTGGTATCTCTTGGGCGCCGCCGGCTCTCAGGGGGTGCAAAACACATGTCTCGCCCTCTACTCTGAGAACTGAGGTGGGGGCCAGTGCCCTTTGCCTCCTCCCCCCCCCCCCCCCCCCCCCCCCGGTCGGTACGCCCATGCCTGTCAGCATGCGTGAGTTCTTTCTTGTTCATGCGCTGGTGTGAATATGCATCCTTCCCCTATTTGAGCTTCGAAAGAGCCCACGTCTATACAGGCGGTTAACAACGTTTCTGCAGATATCGCTGATTGGATCGAAGGTGGAACGGCTGCTGGTGTGGTACCGCAACGCTAACAAAACCAGCTGCAGCCGCGACCGCCAGGCGGCACTGCGTCTCGTCGCGTCCCGCTTCGACGAAATCGTAGCAGACGACCGCTTCCTTCGACTTTCCATTGCCGAGGTCGTCCCGCTCTTCAGCTGCTCCAGGCTTGGCACTTCGGGGTAATGCCGATTCACCGCACGATCTTCAATAACTCGTCGGCCTGCGCCAAGAGGTTCAGTGCGACAAAAGGCTGGCTCACACATTTCCGTTACCGTGCGGTCGGCTGCGTTACAAGTCTGTCGTCTGCGCATATGTTGCGCATCATTCTTCCATCGCGTGCTCGAAATAATTCTGACAATGTTATAAACAACCTTTTCTCACAGATCGCGCGTGTATTTGACCTCGCAAATACCGAAAAACCTTGAGTCGAGTTATTAGTACGGAACTGTCGCAAAGCTGCCTCGTAGATGGCGCGCCAGTCGGCGAGTGTGTTCTCACAAAACCAATGAAGAGCGTCTGTAAATTAATGGCGGACCACCTCCTGCTTATATTGGTTGCTCATGCGCATGCGTGACTTTCCGCGTGGCGTGGAAGATTGCTGTCGTAGAGGCTGAGCCGTTGGAAACACTTGAAAAAAATCGACGCTTTTCGTCTCCTTTTTTTTCAACTTTTATTCGAAACAGGGTTCCTAAGCAATCTGACTCCGATCGAGCATTTGGAAGCACCCTCAAAATCTAGGCACACTACAGTCACTCACAGAATGAGAACGGCAAAGCGTTTCTTTCGAACTTCCGGCGTACACCACGTGCTGCATGCTTTCCGCCGTGCCAAAGCCTCCTCTATGCTCACAAAGCCTGGCAGTTCGACGACGGAGCCCTAGAGTGCCCGTTCGCAGATATAAAGCGTGAGGATCTGGTAGCACAGAGCTACAAAGAGCCATTCCTTGGGGAACCTGGACATTAGCGCACAGCTTTTGCAGCGGCGAGGACCCGAAACACACTTGTTCGCTCGGGAGAAGTGCGTTTCGGCGCCTCGCCGCAGCACGGCGCCAGTCACGTGGCTCCTCGCTCATTCGTTGTCTGCCGCTCCACCTTTCCTATTTCGGTGGCCGCTTCTCGTGGCGATCTTCCAGGCTTTGGCTGTGGCCGCGTTATGGCTGCGCGCGCGCGCTCTAGGTATACGAGACGTGAAAGCGCTGTCGAAGGTATAGGAAGCTCGCGCTGCAGGCGTGACTATATGGAAGCTCCTTCCTGCCGCTCTCACCTTTTCAGTGACTATTAGTGCCGGGATGTTACAGTGGCGCCCTCTGATGGTTTCCGTTCGCGACGTCACGAGTTTTAATCCTGGCTACTTATCATCCGTTCCTAAGTAGAAATTCGAGTGTGTGTCTAAAAAAAACCCGATGAGAGTTTAGAGGCATTCTTAAAGGGACACTGACTGGGTATTTACGTTCACCAGAGTTTTTTTATTTGTACATGACAGGAGATCCTAACCACCCAGAACACAATTTTTGACTCGAGATTCATTTTCTTTCTGCCCGAAAACCGCCAATCGAGAACTGGCCGGTTGGAGTCGCGCTCACTCTCTTCTCCGCGGTCACGTGCCGTTTTCTAAGGTTTAGACACACCCACCAAAGATAATCAAAGCCGTGGGCCATCGAAGGACAACATTCAGTACTAAAAATGGACAAAAAATATGATACCTATGTTTTTGTGACTTCGAAAAAACTACAAATACGTTTATTAAAAAAACAAAAAAAAAGTTGCACAGTTACGTGACTTTTGGTATTTTTTTCCTCTATATTTCTTCTTCCTCCCCAGTCCAGGTTCCGTTTCAGTTGCGAGTACTTGCGTTTTCTGACATGATTATACGTGACGCTGTGGCAAAATATTGATTCGGTAGTCTTCTGACACCATTTAAAATCGCCTGGCAAAAAGAAAAAAAGGAGGGTGTCAGTGTTTCTTCAAACCAACACCATCAAAGTTCAGTCTGACACTCCACTTGTTCCCGTGAATGAGAGCAAAACCAATCCAAATGAGGACGTTATAACGGTTTTGCCAATCGCGAATGCCGACCACAACGACGCTTTTGGTCATGTACATTGCCAATGGTGTTAAGCGTCATTCACACTCTTGCGACCGAGTAAGACCGAGAGAGACCAGACCGGTTTTTAAGCCTTTTGCAACTTCTTAGTACCGGATGCCGTGCAGCAGATTGCCAATGGTGTTACCTCCCAGCAAGTGGTTACGGGTTGTTGGAGCGCAGTCGACCACACTTAAACGCAAGTGCTTGAGAAAGTCTTTGATCTTCAATGAGTTCCCCTTTATGGCGTGCCCTCTTGGACTCTGCTTTAGAGAAATTCCGGTGTTCCTGGCGGCACTCAAGTGGCTCAACCACGACTACACCAAACGGCAGCAGTACCTGGTCCAGTTGCTCAAGTGCGTCCGCTTCTCGATGATGAACCGCGAGGAGATCGTGCACTGTCTCCACCCGCCGCTGCTGAGCAACATCACCCGTTTCCCGTCCGTCGCCTTCATGATTCTCAGCGCCTTTGGGTGAGATGCGCAAGTGTTCACCTTCTGACAGGAACACCGTAACCTACAACCTCACGGAAAACAGTAAGTCATCCATGTGAAGATAATGCCAAGTAGGGTGGAAATAGGATGACTTTTCTGTGAGCTCCTTTGTCGTAAATATGAAGGCTGAGAAACCACCCAAGCATTAAAACAAACGTGGCTACTTTTCCTAGTATTTCCAGTACAAAGAAACTTTTTGAAAAAAAGATCGAGTGTGCCACGTTTGATTACATGAGGCACACTTCATGCTAAAAGACGTTTGCCGCTAACTATTACACACACACACACAGATCTTACAAACTGTTCATCGATGTTCAGAACCTTCTGCTTTGCCGCCGTCTATAGAGTGGTGTCGATGCAAGAGGAAGGCCGGGAGCACCTTATGTCGAGGTTCGCCAGCCCAAACAGGGTCTACCTCCGACCATCCAAAGAACGTCATCCGCTCTGGGTACGTGCCGTTCGCGGTTCCAAGCACATTCTTCCTCACCTCAGTGTACAGGCTCACGCTTTTCTAGGATAGCGTTAAATTCGCTGAACTGCTTCTTCTTCCGTACCAATAGAATAGAATAGAATAGATATTTTCCGCCGATCTTTGATTAATTCTGACCGGAGAATAGAGGGTAGCCCTCGAGGCAAACCGCCTTGAAATCTGCCCCTTATCCTTCAATCCCAGCCAATCGGAGCTAGGCGTTCTGACGTCACTACAACCCCCCGAAAAGAAGCAGACGAACTTGCGCTCCGCATAGATATCCGCGTTGCACTCTCACTCTTTTGTAGCACTTTTTTTAATGACGTAACAACCCCACTGCCTCTTCTTTTTGTTTCTTTTTTTTCTTTTTTAGTGTTACGTGATTATAACATTCTTTTTTTTTTTGCGTAATTTATGGGATAACAGGATCGATCATTTTAGCCGTAAGGCTTATACAGAATCACCGACAACCAAAGAAAAGCATTGTGTGGCGTATCATGTTCACTCTTCCTGTCTCCTGATTGGCTCTTGTGCGTTCTTACTGGTTGATGCTGGAATCTCATTGGCTGCGGACCTAGCGAAACCCTGCGTTTTCTTTTTTTTTTTTTTTTGGGGGGGGGGGGAGGGGGGGGGCGAGTTCGTGAGTGCAGTGTATAAGAAGATATGAATATAAATTAAGTGGCGACTAAGAAACACGCAATAAACATCCAAACAAACAAAACAAAAACGGCAGTGGACGAACCTGGTAGGAGCAGATTTGTAAGATGGCAACACCTTTCAAGCGATGAAATAACTTGTAATAGTTTAGGTTTTGAAGTAATTTTGTGATCATTTGAATATACTTATTAGAAAGTAATCGTTGGGATAATATTAGTATTTGAGTAGTGCTAAACGTACTTGGACCCGTCACTATTTGTTCCCTCGCCTTACTATAATGTCACCCTTTGTTTGTGCATGTTTTATACCAAGGAAACATCGAACCAAGATAATTAGCTTAATGTCCGCTGATTCGAATCCAATAATGGGCAGTACAAAAAACCCGTTTTCAAACTGGCAAAAAATAACTGCCGCTTCGAAAATCCGGAGCCATTGAAGAAGTAACGGTTACTTTTAGACGTAGCGCGGCAAATTACTTTTTTTTTAAGTAATCAAGTAATGCGGAGAGCCAATCGTCTGCTTTTTTGCAGGGGTTGTGGTGACGTCATAACGACGCCGAGCTCTGATTGGCTCTAATTAGAAAGATAGTGGGTAGACCTCAATGCTAAATACCTTAAAATCTACCGCCTATCTTTCTTTTTTTTTTTTTTTTAGCCGGCCAACGGCCAGCGTTTTGGCATCACCGCAACCCCCGTGGAAGAAGCAGACGAACTTGCGCTCCACAAATGATTTATTACTTTTTATTAAAGAGTAATTGCAGTTGAGATTCCTACTTTCGAGTAACGTGTGCAAGACTGGGTAGAAGCCATAGGATCGAAACGTAAAGCAACAACCTGGAAATAGTTGGCGTCTCGCTAAAAGATTAAACTTCTTCGTCCGGTGAGCTCTCGGGTGTATCGTTTCAAACGCAACCGGCATGACAATTAAGCGGATTTCTATACGGAAACGGACTAATCCGTAAAAGAAATAAATGGAACTTACTACGACCGCAAACGTAATGGCTTCCGAAATTTGACAGCCGCTTCCGGACGTCCCGGAAGACAGCAGCTCCCACGCTAAGCAGAAGGCAGCGCTGAAGATCCAGTCAGCCTGGCGGCGCAAGATTGCTGAACGAGACGCGTCCAAGCTGCGCCGACAACGAGGCAAATGTAAACTTCTCGTAAAAAATAACAGTATAAAAGAAATTAAATTACTGCTTTCGCTTAACATCCATAAGCACTAACAGTTAAAAAAAGAAAAAAAAAAAGCAGAGCGTAGAATGATCTGAGCATCCTCCCTGTCCTCAGTCAGTGAAATTGTAGCAATATAGCCGCGGGGAAAAAAAAAAAAAGAAAAAAAGAAAAACGGCGAGGGATGTTTGACAAAGCCAAAGCGCAAGGATAAGAAGCGAGAGGCCTCTGGTTTGTTAAGTTGTCACTGACTATGTATTGTCACTAACATGTTAAGAAACTCGGGATGCTACGAGTCCCGCCCATATTATTACAGCTTCGCAGCCGACGAGGCATTAGCCGGCAACTACACCTCAGAAGGAATCCTGGAGCAAGAATGGGGAAGATAGCATGCCATGCCCACCGTCTCTTAAGAGGTCATTATTTACAAATATATGTGTTAGCAGTGCCATGGACGACCTTTAGAGGCGTTAAAGTGCCTCTTCTTGCTTCGAGGGATGACGTGAATAGGCTCCTATAGACTTTCACGGGTCCCTGAATGTATATTGGGCACTGCGACGCACTAGGAGCACCGATTTTTCTTTTGCGTTTTCTAATCAGTCAGAATCGTGCTCGAATGAGCAATGAAAGTCATGCTGAAATGGTAGCACAGTCTCAGGGGCAAGAAAACATGCTGCTAAGATTGCCTAGGTATTGGGCCGTAATATCGAACGTCCCTTTGGTCGGTTGAACTTGTCAATACAGAGTTTCTAGAACTGTGGCTTGCGACTTCAAGGGCGATCGCGACAGATTCAAGGAGGGGGAGAGAGAGGGGGAGTTTCAAAGCGGCAAGGGCATTTGAACGAAAGCGAACTTGCCTTCTCTTAGGTGGTATCGATGAGAAGCAAGTACAAGTCGCAGCTCGACGTCGGAGCTGCGAGTTGGGGTGTCCAAACACCGCACTCGTTGCGAGAAAATGAGTTTTAACAAACAAGCTCACTTTAATCAGCAGATATCCCCGCTGGCAAGCGTCTTTTCTTTATGCGATGATTTCTAGACCGGCCGATTCACCCGGACCCTATTAACTGCCAAATATGTAGTTTCAGCGTCAGATTATTCATGTACTAATATCGAAAAGCTTGTGACATCGCGAAAGCTGGAGGGAAGTGGGGCGAGAGAATCGCGACGCGATATTTTATCTTTTTTGTGGGGTCGCAAGGTAGCAGAGTTCTGGATCACCACTCTTTATACTGCCACGAATGGCAAGTCATGAGGCGGCGAATAACTGAAGATACTTATAACGTTTCATGGAATAAACTTGTGCCCAAAAATAAAAAGGAAACAAGAGATAACAGCAGAGCGTCGCGGGCGTCAACATCGGCGCAAGAGCAGAGTCGAACGCTGGGGCGAGACTGACTCCGGTTCGCCATGTGTTTCTCTAGAATATTCGGCCTAGAACGTTCGGCTCGTAAGAACATTCATAATTGGATCGGACGAGAAGCTTCTCGAACTTACGAGAACGCCCAGTAGAAAGAAGAAATAAAATATTCCGCTCCATGGAATCGAACTCGGATCCTTCGCGCTAGAGCCAAGCACGCTAACCACTCGGCCATGTACGCGCTCTCTCGGCAACGCGCGTGGCAATATAGCTACGCAGATGCGGTGATTAGCATCCGTGTGTTTTGAGGGCAAGTACAGGCACGGACTTATTTAACTAATGAGCAGTTCTGTTGGAACAGATCCTGTCGATGAACCTGTTGTGGTAGCAGTAGAAGACGCAAGTCATACGCAAGCCGTGAACCCGAAACTCCGGTGTCTCAAGCAGGACAGCGCAGCGACTAAGGTGCCAGTGAAGACTTCCGGTGAGCGCAATGTGGTATTCGCCATAATAGAGAGTTTTAGAATAGGGGCCCTAATGGGGTATCCACACGAAGGAGAAATCCGCCCCTTTCCTCCGCGGATCGCGCATCACGTGAGACATACGTCATCCCTTTTTGACGCCTCGCGGCACGTTCTCCTCCGTGGCGGAGGCGCGGAGGCTTTGTACTGACAGCACGAAAGCTCCGCAAGTGCACGCGGCGGAGCCGGGGACGGAGTTTCCCGGGATGTTGACGTCACGACATCCGTCCGCGGAGTTCTCCTTCGTGTGGATACCCCTTTACGCTTCGGTTCCCCCGTGACGGCCCAAGCTGTTAACACAGAGGCTCGGGCAATTTGCATGCTTATGGTGCACAGGGGGAACAGTGCACCCGCAAAACAGGTATTCAAGTCCACACACACAAAAGAAAGAGACACGCAGCGCTGACCAACAACTCTCTGGTGTATTTACAGTTTTTCTTTGTCTCCTTTTTGTATTATGGACTAGGGCCATTGAGAATTGGTCTTTTTTCTTCAATTGGAAGCTAAACCGTAAACTAAATAAACTTTAATTTAATAAAAGGTAGTCTACTTCTTTTTGTGATAAGGTTAAAGACGGAGTACTGATACATCGTTATGTTTTGCGATATCCTCAGCTTCAATGATTTCTCTTGTTAGCTGGTTGTGGCTGTGAACATAAGAAGCTGGTTGTGGTTGTGAACGTAAGAACACTTTCACCAACAAAGACTCCGGACATTTAGGCATTCGCTGTCGAAACTGTAGCTGCTCAGTGCTGAAGATCAACTGCGCCGTGCACGGCAAGCACCACAACCAGCTAACAAGAGAAATCTTTGAGGCAGAGAATATCGCAAAACATAACGATAGATGTTTCAGTACTCCGTCCAAATCAAGAAAAAATTCCAATTATTCTCCATGGCCCTTGTCCGTAATACAAAAAGTAGACGAAGAAAAAAGTTTAAATATACCTGAGAGCTGTTAGTCGGCGCTGCGTAACTGTCTCTTTCCCTTGTTTGTGTGGACTTGAATAACTGTTTTGCGGGTGCGGTGTTCCCCCTGCACATCATGCCCCAAGCTGCTTAGGGGACCCAAAAGCCTTGCCCCCCCCCCCCCCCCCCCTAACCTTGTTTTTTAGCTTTTTAATATGGCTATGCTATTTTTTTGTTGCGTTGTTCAAACATAACCGAAAACCTTGTACCTCGAGTAGAAATGAAGCATGTCTTGTTAGTACCCATACTCTAAGGCAGTGGTTATCAACCACTGATGTTCCGGGTACCCCTTCTGGATCAGCGGAAATTATGGGGGACACCGGGGTCGAGGGTAGGGAGAGATGGGGCAATAACAGACGATTACGATGACAAAATGGCGAATAAATCAAACGAGGTGCACGCAAGTAAACTTTGAAGCTCTGAAACATGCTAATCAACCCTGCTCATTAAGTGCACATGTAAAACTGTCTGCAACAATTAAAAGAAAAACACTTTTATTGCTGGGTAGAGGGAACCCTAAGAGGGCCTTCGGGGACCCCAAAGCGTTCTGCCCCACGGTGCACTTTAAAACCACAAATCGGTTTTATTTATTTATTTATTTACGCTTAATCCTGCTTTGCTCTTTGGGTTATTATAACAGGAAGAATTCGACATAATAAGTTGAAGATTGTACATGGTGAATATAAGAGAGGAATTCGTATGGACGCCATCAGTTTGTATTCTCAGTGCGAACAGAAAATGACGAGTGACAGTGTGACAAGTTTCATCTTTGAACGGGCAATCTAGTATATGAGACAGATTGTGCAGCGTCCTCAGGTTATTGGTTCGTTCTTCCGGATTATAGTTTGGTCGTGAAAAAGGTTAGAGAAAATGTTAGCCCCAGGTTTTCATTTTTTCTTATTTATTTCTTCGGATAGCTACATTCTTTCATTCTTTCCTTCTTTCTTCCTTCACTCCTTGAGTCCATTTCGCCAGTGAGAAAAGCCGAGCCGCGAATCAACGGCCATGCAATTCGCAACTCCAGCGCGCCGCTCGCCCTCCCGCGGGCAAACGGAGAACCAGAGGAGCGGGGACGGCAGCGACGTGGAAATGATGGCAAGGACTCTCGGCTTTCATGCCTTAAGCCGTTTTAACGTAAAAAGTGAGCGCCTTAAAATAGGAATTCTTTTCCTCCGCCTTGCAACAGACTTGCACGAAGGACCGGGATGTCTAATTTCATTAGAGACTTTTCGTGTATCGCATATGGTGCGGATTTCTGGTCCTGTGCATGGCCGCCAGCGCAATACGTGCTCAACGTGACGGAAAACGCTCACGCTAATAATGAAGAACTCTATAGTACGGTCTACGGAAAGTCTATTCTTTGCCATAAGTAGGAGAAAACTCGTCGCGCAACGGTAAGTCGAGCAATACAAATCTGGGATCGGTTCGCGCTTTAAGGCCGTTACAATGAACATGACCATTTATTCCAAGCCTTTAAAAAGACGAATACGCACTTGCTTTCAGGTAATTACAAAGCAAATAAAGAAATGCTCGAAGCATTTTAATCGCGTCTGTGTTAGCCAGTCGTTCGAGACGAGAGCTTAGAACGCGCAGTTTTGGCCCGAGGGACCCCAATGTTGCAAATAACACGGTACGAAAAATATACGGTATATTAAAATGTTTATTTCTGATAGAGCAATAAATAAAACTCCTAAACACGCCTATTATTTGGTACGACACCCCTAAACTCTAGTTGGACGTAGAGCGTACTGACGTTCAACTGGTGCTACCAACTTTTACGAGCGTCTTGATAGCCGAGCTGTGCAACTTATTAAAATAGTTAAAGTGTAAATGGGTGTAAAAAAAAAAGTAATCGGGGTTTTCTTCGCCTTACTGTAAAACCTTTGGTGTTGTTTTTTTTTCATTTTTCTGCACTCTTTGATGCTTACTTTAGCTGTTTTCATATCTTATGTTGTGCCTGTCATCAAGCCTCTCGTAAAAGTTGGGGCCGTCAGTTTGATGTCAGCGGGCTGCACGGCGAACTCAAGTTTTGGAGTGTCGTATATCTGACAGGGGATTTATTCAAGTATTGTTTGGCGTAAGTAACCCCCCCCCCCCCCTCCCCTCCCCCGCTGTAATGCCGAAAGGCGCTGCGGGTGTTGAATAAATATATAAATAAATAAATAAATAAGGACTACAACATCTTTTTTTTTTTTTTTTTTTGAGTGATGAGCACGGCAACGCCCCTGGCGCGCACTGACAATTGTGCTTCAAAGGCGCAGCGCGAGCTTGCGGTTTTAATGCTACACCGCACGGTAGGCTGCGGTAACAATCTTTATATTAATAACCACAGAGCAGTTTGATTGCGTGTTGCAATACACTAAAACCGAGACGATGAGCGGCGAGTTGTGAGGTTGTGACGCGAAGACACCAATATTGTGAACGCTGCTCTTCCGAAGCTTGACGGTCACCGTTCGCGGCTCTCTTTTTAGAGCACTGATGGCCAGGCAAAGCGGAAACATATCTTCATCACCCTCAAAAATATTCTGCCACAAACAGTAACGTGGCCGGTGCCTAAAACCCGCTCGCTCACCACAAAGCTTCGTAATTTGAGGTTTCTGAAACTTCTAAATACCAGCATGCTCGTTTTCCTAACGTGCATAAGCATCCCCTCACCTGTAAAATGATCCCTCCCTAACCGCTTCGCATTTGTAGACAAATAAATCATTTTGTAGCGCGCTGAACAGCGTCAGCGAGCAGGCGCACGGGATATCCTGGAGAATCTATCCCCGTCTCTTCCGCCATCTTGGAACTACCGCCCCGCCACCTATAGGGCGTTGGAGTTGCGAATACAATACCGATTGCCTTTGTGATTGGCTTAAGTGATGAAAGGCGCACCGACGATTGATGGTTTTAGTGCACTGCGGCGGGGTACGCTCTAAGAGGGCGTATATGGTCACTGCCCGGGAGAGTGCGCCACTAGCCGATAAGAACCGAAGAACGAATCACGAAGCACGAAGGCTGAACACAGTGAGTACCGTCTAGAAGATAAGGCCCTGCAACTCCCCTCTTCCATACGTCGTCACCAATGGATCCACGCGTCAGCGTCGCCTAGCTTGTGTCAGCATCGCCGCCAGCGCATCTCGCAGCATCTCGCAAAGAACGCGACGCTAACACGCGGCTACGCCAAGACGGATGCGTCTGCAGCTTTTGCGGTGACTCTCATCGAGCTTCATTGGCTAGGTGGCGCTAGCCGCCGCCCGGTTTAAAGGGTTCAGCCTTATCCATTGATCCATCCATCCAAGGGTGACGTCATGCACAGGCTATGTATTCCAGTTCGTATGGACATAATTGCAGCAAGGCATGTAGTTGGGCTAGTTGGTGGTACATAATGTTTGGAGGGAACAGCGCAAAAAGGACGTAGGGCGAGGTCGAAGAAACACACAGACAGGGCGCTGACTTACAACTGAAAGTTTATAGCTCAGAAGAAAGAGAAATAAACACAGAAAGGAGGAAGGGGAGAGAACAAACAAATCAAACCAATAACATGCGGCATCACCCACGCCCACGCTCCGTCAAACGAACCTGCCACACTTTCTTAGAAAATCCACCTCGTCATTTGCAAGGGCAACCGAAGGAGCGCTCACACACGTGTCAGCTCCGATAGACGCGATAAAAAATGCATCGTCTATCTCCCTCGCAGTTTTGTTTTTGTGACGAGACAAAATCTTTATGTCACGCAATGACGGCGTGCAGCCACACCTGTCACAATGAACCGCTAGGTTTCCTGAGGGCGAGGAACGCAGAGAAAGGGAATGTTCTCTTGCCCTTACGTTAACACAACGCCCGGTTTGACCAATATACACCCTGCCGCAGGACAGGGGGATCTGGTACACGACCCCGCTTACACAGGCGACGTACGGAGTGCGATGTTTGACGTCGCACACAACGGAAGGGCGTCCCTCTCTACTAACAGCAGCACAAAGGTGTGAAAGCTTAAATGGCGCCGAGAAGACGACAGGCACCTCAAACCTACCGGCAACGCGCTTAATTCGGTGGGACAAGGCATGGATATACGGAAGTACGACAGGTCTAGTGGATGGCCTTTGTTTTTTCCCAGGACTAGCGTGCCCCCTAAACATCCGAACAAGGGACTCAGCAACACCCCCCACAACCGCCGAAGGGAAGCCCGCAGAGGCAAGCCTATCAACCTGAGTCATAAAACTTGACCCACACCTATGGCGACATGATTTTAACAAAGACGCCCTGAGGCACGACCCAGCAATAGCCCTTTTCACCAATTTTGAGAGTGCCGAGTCATAAGGAAGTAATCCCTTCTTTGATCTAGGATCATAGGCCCAGCACACGTGTGACGTCCCAAGGCGGAGATTAATGTCCAAAAATTGCAAAGCCCCTTCTGTCGGGACCTCGAGCTTAAAACTTTCCTGGGGGACTCTTCGGCTCCAGCCGCGATTGTGGAGATTCTGGAAAAGGGACCAAAGTTTGCCACGGAGCCTTCAGTCAAGCCAACGGAAATGCTGGCCCTCGTGCGTCAGGTGTCTGGGAAGGTGACCCCGGACAACAGGGAACGGTGCGTTCTCGAATGTGTGGAAGGTCTCACTAAGGAGGGCAGACGACCGGTGCGCAAGATGAAGCTAAGTGCGGATGTGCCGTTCTTCAAGGAGTCAAAGCTGAAGCTGTTGCTGTCCGATAAGGAAGGCGGGTTCGTTGTGGTGCCAGATAACATGTTTAAAGAGAAATCGAGGAACGCAATGCAGAACAATTTTAGATCCTTGTCGGGTGTGGATTTGAAGAAAGTTAAGGCGCGTGCCGTCCAGCTCAGTGTGGACCTTAATTTGGATAGGCTTCGAAAATCGGTGTTAGGAGCGAAATGTCTCAGTTTGGAGGCTTTCTTTACGGGGAAAACTCATAAGGAGTTGATGCCGTTTAGGGCTATTGTCACTCAAAAGGATTCGTGGCAGCTGCATGTGTCTTCGTTCCTTCAGCGCCACCTGTCCTCGCTCACCCTAAATGACCCTTTTTTGATACGTAATTCCGAGGCTCTGGTTGAATATTTGAGGGGGGATAACCCAGGGTCCTGTGACATAGTGTCACTCGATGTTGAGGATATGTTCTATTCCATTCCTCACGGAGAGCTCATGACGGCTGTGGAGGAATGTATCCATACCAATGGGGCCGTGGCGTTCAGTAGCTCCTCGGGAGTGTCGTGTGATTCGTTTCTAGAGTTGCTGCATTTCTACATCCAGTCAACCTACGTTACCTACGAGGGTGATACCTTTTTGCAAAAAAGTGGCATTTGTATAGGGTCGAGTGTAGCACCGGTGCTTAGCGATATCTATTTGGCGAGGTGTGATAGAGGCATTGCTGGCAGGCTGGATGGACGCGTTTTGAAAGTGCTAAGATATGTAGATGATTATCTCATTGTTCTTAAACCCAGCCTTGACAACGACTGTGTTGAAACGGTTAAAGAGATTGTGGACATTTTTAGTGAATGTTCCCAGGGCCTAAGTTTTAAGCTCGAGGTCCCGACAGAAGGGGCTTTGCAATTTTTGGACATTAATCTCCGCCTTGGGACGTCACACGTGTGCTGGGCCTATGATCCTAGATCAAAGAAGGGATTACTTCCTTATGACTCGGCACTCTCAAAATTGGTGAAAAGGGCTATTGCTGGGTCGTGCCTCAGGGCGTCTTTGTTAAAATCATGTCGCCATAGGTGTGGGTCAAGTTTTATGACTCAGGTTGATAGGCTTGCCTCTGCGGGCTTCCCTTCGGCGGTTGTGGGGGGTGTTGCTGAGTCCCTTGTTCGGATGTTTAGGGGGCACGCTAGTCCTAGGAAAAAACAAAGGCCATCCACTAGACCTGTCGTACTTCCGTATATCCATGCCTTGTCCCACCGAATTAAGCGCGTTGCCGGTAGGTTTGAGGTGCCTGTCGTCTTCTCGGCGCCATCTAAGCTTTCACACCTTTGTGCTGCTGTTAGTAGAGAGGGACGCCCTTCCGTTGTGTGCGACGTCAAACATCGCACTCCGTACGTCGCCTGTGTAAGCGGGGTCGTGTACCAGATCCCCCTGTCCTGCGGCAGGGTGTATATTGGTCAAACCGGGCGTTGTGTTAACGTAAGGGCAAGAGAACATTCCCTTTCTCTGCGTTCCTCGCCCTCAGGAAACCTAGCGGTTCATTGTGACAGGTGTGGCTGCACGCCGTCATTGCGTGACATAAAGATTTTGTCTCGTCACAAAAACAAAACTGCGAGGGAGATAGACGAAGCATTTCTTATCGCGTCTATCGGAGCTGACACGTGTGTGAGCGCTCCTTCGGTTGCCCTTGCAAATGACGAGGTGGATTTTCTAAGAAAGTGTGGCAGGTTCGTGTGACGGAGCGTGGGCGTGGGTGATGCCGCATGTTATTGGTTTGATTTGTTTGTTCTCTCCCCTTCCTCCTTTCTGTGTTTATTTCTCTTTCTTCTGAGCTATAAACTTTCAGTTGTAAGTCAGCGCCCTGTCTGTGTGTTTCTTCGACCTCGTCCTACGTCCTTTTTGCGCTGTTCCCTCCAAACATTATGGACATAATTAGGCCAGGCCCAGCGTTGCGATTCGTGACTATGCTGAGAGCAAGTTGGTCTGCTTCTTGCGCAGGAATTGACTTGGCGTCAGAGCGACGCCGAGTTCTGATCGGCTTTGAATGGAAGGATAGTGGATAGGCCTAAATGCTAGATGCCTTGAGGTCTACCCACTGTTTTTTGTTTTTTTTTAATTAGCCAATAAGATCTTGGCGTTCTAACATCATCACAACCCCTGTGCAAAAAGCAGACGAACTTCCACTTTAGGAAATCCGGAGCGGTTACTTTGCTGGAAAGTAAAAACTCCAGAGTCCAGATTTCTCGAAAGTGTAAAGGGTAAGTCAAACTTGAATCGTTTCCGGCACAGAGAGTCGGGGCTTCGTGAGCTCCGGTGACCCGCCCGAGATGATGCCCAGTCCGGTGAGGGAACCGTTCACGCCGATTCTCAAAGTCGTCATCAAGGAAGGTGAGCGGCTTCAGAAGATTATCCGGCGAGCATGTATTCCAAAGTGCGTCTTTGGCGCATCGAAACGCGAGGAGGGGAACGCCGATCAAGGGGCAACATGGTTAACGCAGAGGGAACGCGCGATGGCGAGGGGACCAAGCGCGCCCTGTCATTGGCTGAGGTCAATCCGGAGCGCAAGTTCGTCTGCTTCTTTGCTGGAGTTGCGATGATGTCAGAAAGACGCCGAGCTTTAATTGGTTATGATTGAAGGATAGTGGGTAGTCCTTAAAGTAAGCTGCCTTCAGGTCTACCCACTATCCTTCATTCAGAACAAATGAGATCTCGGCGTGCTGACGTCACCACAACCCCTGCAAAAGAAGCAGACGAACTTGCAGCCCGCATAAGAAACAGAAGCACGGGAGGGCATTTGAGGGGTTAAGAAACGCAGGGGGTGCGCAAGGAACAGACGAACGTGGCACGCCGTATTGCCTTTAGTTTGCCCGTTACTTTTGTTTTCGGCGCGTGACCTGCAAAATTAGTATTTCTACATGATTGACCATCATTTCTCCCATAATCCCGTTCAAATGTGTGAGCAAAACCGGTGTCCATGTGTTGTCTCATCGAAAATATGTGATAGAAGCGTTGATGGGAATAAGCGTAAGAGAAATGAATAGCTGGCGTTCATTGGATGTCAAATGTTTGAGCACGTCGATCAAAGCTTAGGCTCAAAACGAGCCCTGACTTGCACTGTCAGAAAGAAAGGTATATTTTTACACCCCTTGCCCCATGTACGACACCCCAAAACTTCAGTTTGACGTAGCGCGCACTCACATCAAACATACGGCCCTAACTTTTACGACGGGCTTGAGAACGCTAATATATACCTTATTAAACAGCTAGAGTACGTATCGAAGACTACAGAAGAAAAAAAAAACTGAAGTTTTGCAGTAGGGCCAGAAAAACCGAAATTACTTTTTTCCTTTTTTTTTGTATTCAGGAACGCGTACATTGGCGATTTTAATAAGTTGTACCACTCGGCTATCAAGCGCCCTGTGAAAGATAGTACTGTCAGATCGACGTCAGTGCGCTGTACGTCCAACTTAAGTTTTTGGGTGTATTATATGAGACAAGGGGTGTAAGAATATACCCTTTTTCTCTTAGTGTTTACCGTTTGACGAGGAAGGACTATACCTCAGGGACGTTGCGGAAACTTGCCGTTAGCAGACACATCAGTAGCCACGGACTCAGCTATGGCCACCAGAGAGAAGCGCGTTTGCTTACAGCACCTTTAGGCACTGCGCGCGTTCCCCGAAGAACGAGGTACCTGCGCTTGCTCACATCGCAAACATGACGTGAAGGGCGTAAGACGCGGTTGCATAGGTAGTCATGTTTTCCGGTACACATGAGATGCAGTGAATTCCATACGATCAGGCAACAAGGAAGGGTGTCAAAACGTGTTTTTGGAATGAGGTGATAGTGCGGTTCATTATGACCGCAGGTTTGAGACGACCGTCGCATGTCCTTGCCACATCGATCTTTGTTAAAACATACAGAAAAAAAGAAAGTTTTAACACTTTCTAAAACTAAACGTGTGCTACGATTCTGAAAACGGTCGGGAAGATTGGGTTTATATTTTTTAGGCATTAATCGACGAGTGTATTTCCTCAAAGGATTCTTCCAAAAGCCAACAGTTCAATGAAAACAAAATGTTTCCGTAACTCCGTTCTTCATTACTCGTCGAGTAATTCGACGACAATCGCGTGACTGTTATGACTCAGGCGAGCGATTTTCTTCTAGGCGCGCGAACTAAACTCTGGAACTACCGTATATTCCGAGCTTAAGCCCGCCGACTGTTCATGTTTAAAAGCTGAAATTTTACTCGGTGCGGACTATCTCCAGGTGCGGACCACACGAGGATCTGTCTTCCCCAAATCATTTATTATGGCCAGACATGGCGGGCTTTATGAATGACATAGTATGTTAATGATGATTTCTTTGTGATACAAGGTACTTTAATAAACCAGGACTTTGTCACTGTGTGCTTTTTATGAGGATTTTCTTTTTACGAGCAGACTATAGGCATAAGGTGCGGATTGAGCAATAGGTATGGTCAGTCTAAGGAAAAAACTTATTTCTGCAACCGAAATACGCTCCTGCAGATGAACACACCGGCTGCGTCCTATATAGCTCGTAAAATACACTATTTTATATGGTCATGCCGTCAAAGATACGGGAGCGTGCGCACTCGCACATCTTGCCCTTATTAAAGCGGCGCTTGTGTACTTCGTTGGGGAATCTAAGCTTATTGCGTCGTTTCCGTCTAAATCTAAAGGCCTATTTCCACAGGGACGTTTGGTTACGCTTTCTTAGGTTACGTCGTGAGTCGCCAAGGTGTCCGTGCTTCGTATGTCGCGTGCAAAGTTACTTCTTCAATTGGTTACCACGCTTTCGTGCGAAGCACGGACGGACCGGTGGTGACTCTCGACATAAGCAAAGGTAGGCTTCCGTAACGTAACGCAAGGAAACGGGGCTGTGTAAAGCAGCCTTTACATTTCTCATGTTCGATTTTTCTTTCGTTTGCACGACCGACAGTTCAGGAGTGTCTGGGCGAATCATCGGACAGCCTCATCGAATCGGGATCGGCCAAGGAAGCGACGTCGTTGCTGAGGCCGAGTGTCAAGCTTGTGCCGCCTCCCAAGAAAGAGGACCGAGGTAGACTCTCTAAGAGAAGTCCGTGAATTTCCTTTTCTGCGGGACACAGAGGCAACCAACCAACGGCGAATAATATACGAGGATCCCAGCAAATAAAAAAAAGAAAAGTTCAGGGTACGATTAGATCTCGGAAATTCGATTGTCGCAGGGACAAGGAACGTGGCGAAATTTACTAGCTCACTCACCTGCATGCATCGCAATCTATTTTTTAATTCTTTCTGACTAATCATATTTCGAGTTTTATCATTCGTTAGGTCCCTTCTATCGTTCGCCGTCAATGGCTATCTTCCTTGTTCTGCAGGGAACTGAAACCAGACTTGCGGCCGTTACCGAAGAGGAAGTGACGAAATACGTTACTCGTTACTTTCAAATAAAAGGAACGCGTTACATACCTACGTTACCACACAATAAAAAGAACGCTGTACTGTTACGGATAAACAGTAACGCACGTTACTTTTGCGTTATTTTTGTATTTATGAATGAAAAGGTCTTACTGTTTTCGCATTAATCTTACAGGTTTCCATAAGCGCCATACTTAAGGAATTGTGACGTTTATGCATGCCGCGTTTTTCGACGTTGGGACAGAGGGCGTGGAAGTTGGGGTTTTCCTGAAATCGAAGTGCTTGCATAGGGCAAAGAGGCGAAAGAGTTTGAAGGTATAGGAAATGAGTGCAAACCTCCATATGAACTGGCGTCTAAAAACACAAGAAGAATTAAGTTTTGGGGTTTTTTCTGTTAAGGTTTTGTGAAGAAGTTCTAACGAGTAACGTAACTATGTTACCCGCGACTCGCAACAAGTAACGCGAATACGTTATCCGTTACTGTTCAGAAAATGTAACAAGTACGTTACTACGCTATAGATAAAAATATCGCATTACCGGTAACACCGTTACTCTTAGCGCGTTACCGCCAACACTGAACTGAACAGGAAGACCTTCCTCAAGTAGGGTGTAGGATGTCGACGCTATCGAGAAATTTTAAGAGCAAAGGCACGCGCGCCAGTGGCGGCTCGAAAGTTGCGCGCCGTGTTTGCCGATATTCATATCTGCATTACTAAATTTGAAATTACTATTCAATGAAAGCTTTAAAAACGCAGCGTCGCGTCCTATCGAGAGAATCGCATTATCGCTTATCAACTTGAGATTGTGACATTTTTCAATAGATATACAGAAAGATTCACGAATCAACAAGCGTGAACATATTAGGTAAAATCATGCGTTTCTTAATCTATCAACTGACTAAATCGGGAACTATTTTTAGTGCTACTTCTAAGTAGCCACAGTTAGAGTCAACCTCCGAAATTTATGCTTGAAAATAAATTCGCATTAATTTCCTCTCGGCTCGTCATTACGACCTCAAAATTTGCCGTGAATAGCCTGCATAAAAATTTGGCTGTCTTCTTTTTTTTTCGCCTGGCAAACTGGATTGATAGATGAACGCATACGGCTGAACAATTTTAATCGGGCGGCGGTTTGCTCCACCTATAGCCGTTGGTCAGCGATCGCAGCGTCCGATCGGCGTCATGAGACAATAGAAAATATTTAAACAAAACGTTAACTATACATACAGTTGACAACGATTGTAACCAAATATTCGTTAAATTTTAGTGGAAGTAGACCTTACGCAAAAGTACGCGCCACCTGGTGGCTGCTGCATCTATTTTCTGAGGTCGCCATATTTTAGGTGTTGCACTTTGAGCACATATTTAATGGACGGGAGTGCTGCACGTCAGCGTTCGATGTGAACTAAGGTCCAATCGCACACTCCGCTTTGGAAGCGATGTTCACAACAGGGGAACGCTTCATATGTCTACACCCACAAAAGCAGTCTCCGCCATGACACCATGCTTAGTGCCACGGCGCAGACTTTATTTTGTTGAGGTCTAAAGATGTTTAGCCACGTCATTCTTTAAGCAGCCAACCGTAGATTGCAGCAGTTGGTTCTCTAAGTTGCTTTGCGGCAACGTAGACGCTCCCGGTTGCTCAGAGCGTACATCTTTCAGCTTTATCACTCCACTGAGGGTGGGCGTTTATTCGGGATTTTACGGTATAGTCTGCGAATATTGAACGATATAATCGGAAGGTGAATAAAACTAAACGCGCAGTCCTTTTACCTTTTACAAAATTCATGAATGTTGCGTTTGTCTCCTTTGGATGTCTGCTAGCAGCGGCCAAGATGCCCGAACCTCCGCCGATCGAGGCCTTCGAAGCGACCTGGAAATACAGACCGGTAAAGGAGGACACTCTCAGCGCTCAGCAGACAGTCATGCCTGCCTTCACGATTCAGATTGTGGGAGACATGGAGCAGGGCCCGCCACCCCGACCCGGACACAACCCGGGTGCCGTCCAAAAGGTTCCCGAAGGTAACATACCTCATGGAGTTGCCAAATGATTCGCCCCTTTTCAAAGAATGGATGGATCCCTTTTCGAAACTGCGCGCCATCTTATATGTGCTGGGTCAACCGTCCGAGTCTGGCATTGTTTGGGCACATGCTCTGGGCACCTATTGGCCGCGTTCGGCGTGAGTTCGGCTAAGCTCGAATCGTGATCAGTGTCGCATCAACATTCGGTGAGCACTCCAACCTAATCATACGCTTTCTGACAAAACAAAAATGGCCAGCACCATAGAGGGAGTTTTAGTAGATCGTTCCCATGACTCCGATAACGATAGCCGATACCCCGCCGCTGCCTTTCCGCAGGCATCGTATAGTTATCGCGTATCGTTACCGGGTATGCTTTCGGGGATGAAGGTACCGCATCTATTTTCTGTACCTTCTTTATTTGATGGTACAGGGTGTCTGAAATTTCGAGGCTGAAGATTTCCCCCCAAAGGTATACTTTAGCTGTGCATCTTACCTTGTAAACATTTAGTGCGTGGCTCCCTCTCTGTGAAATATGAGAATAACAAACTTTCCGGAGTCAATAGCGAACATTGACGGAGGCGACCGAGCATTGGCGATGATAGAGAGCCTGTGTTACAGCGAATTTCCCACTATTTGTCCGGGGTCATATGGTTTATGAGCCACGTTGGCAATGCGAGCTGCAAAGTGGTGTCGCAAGTGTTGATCGTCTGCAAAAGCCTCCGCCTTTTCGCCTGCCTTTTTGTTCTCCACGCGAAAAATCAGCGTATGCGCATTTGCGACTAATCTCCTCGAAAGGCGTCCGCCATTAAATTACAAATGCTTCCCGTGGCTTGAAATGGAACCTCTCTCTACAATCTAAGCTCTCTAAGCGATGGCTGTAACTTGTGACGCCATCTCGCGACATGGGCGCAGCGAGCAGACGACGCATCTTGTCGTCTGCGTCGACGTCGCGCCGTTGGCTCTGGAAAGATTGTCGGTCTCATTTATCTTTTTACAGACACGAACTTGTACGTCTTGAAGTTTTACAAGGCTAAGCTAAGCTAAAATGCAGGTTCGCTAAAAAAAAAAGAAAACGTGGGATCGCTATGTGTGTATTGTCGCCGATCTTGCCGGTCAACTTTAGAGCAACAGCTTCGGGAACAAGCGAGTCTGACGTCACAGGGCTGCGGTGGCGCTGCTGTCGACGCGGGGCATGCGCCAAGACGCTTTACCTCGCGAGAACCGTGTGTCTGCGCATGCGCATTTCCCACAGTCTGTGTGGGCCAGTCTCGTACACGTTACAAGAGAAAAAAAGTTTTTGATTACAATTACAACTGCTCTCGCTTAAAAAGTATTCAATTATATTACTTGATTACTCGAGACAAAAAGTAATTGGCCGCTACTTGAAAAAACAAAAAGTAACTGTTACTGCTCCAATCATTTCAGCTTTTCTGCCGGTTTGAAAGCGGGTCGGGTCTTTCCTATACTGTCGATTATTTCATTACATAAAAATTACCGAATAACGAACTATACTTATTCTTAATTCACCCATTTTGGTAAGCCATCCACCTGTCAGAAATTTCGTTCGAGGATTCTGCCGGGTGGGAAACTTGTACGAACAAAGGATGCCATGAGGAACGGGAGGGGGAAAAAAGTAACATGGGTATACAAATATTTTTATTGCTTCCAAGAGTAATCAAATTAGTGTTGTGGTTACTTCCGAATAAATGTAATCAAATGATACCAAATTACACCAACAAGTAGTCGACAACAAGTAATTTAATTAATCGCAGTGAGTACCCTACAAGTCCGGTGTGGGCAAATGCGACCTTGTTTGTAAAAAAAGCGCCTTCATCTATATAGATGTAACATTTTTTTTTGTATATTTTTAGAAGGTCCAACGACAGCAAAAAAGAATACAAGTAGCTGTGTCAGGCAAATGTCAGTTTTATTGCACACCAAAATGGATCACTCAGTTTATGCGTAGTAGTCCACTAGATTGACTTTTTTAACTGATGTTGGGGTGCCGTTTTTTTTTTTTTTTCAATAAATGTTGGGTTGATAATCAGCACTTTTTTATTTATCATTTTTGCACTTGTCATTGCCCTTTTAGTAGTATTTAGTTTTGATTACAAGCCATGAACCTATTCCCACAAATGTATTTAACTAATTGCGGTGCCATTATTTGAAAACAAAATTGCGCATGTGCATTCTTGTACCAATGTCCTTTTTTTTTAGGTAACATATTTTCCCCATAATTTTGTTTTGAAGTTAACTAGAAACCTGGAACGATTTTTTTTTTTAATATTTATTTTGCTGTAAGTGTTTGAAATTGTTCAAACCTAGATAGCTGCGAAAAATATGCACACTAACAAACATCGCAAACTTTTCCAGAGCCGACAGCAGCGTTCCCGTGCAATTTCGACAGGGAGTTTGACATGAAAAGTAAGCGAGGTTTTCCAAGCGTTAAGATAAACCGGGATGCACATACTTAAGTGTTTGCGGTCGTTGAACGCGAACATTTCTGTGCATGAGGAAACAGAAAGACATTGAAATGCAACTAGGTACTATTGCTAGAGATAACTTTGAAATGTAATTACTACTTCGTTCCTTGTTAATATGATACGTGGCTGATGGGATGTGACAAGAAAGACAGAAGAGCAACAACAAAAAACAAATGGGCTAATAGGTCACTCGAACCAACTCGTTAATATCTCTCGTTCTTATATATTAGGCAGCTCATCATTGCGTACAAAACGGTATGGATGTTGGCGCTTCTTGATGGTGACAGAAAGACTACACGAGTTTTTGTGACAGTCAATAAGTAAAGGATACGTGTTAATCACTTACGCTATAAAAAAATTAGTAATGACGTCTCAGAACGAACGTGCTACACATCCTACATAGTCTGTTCATAACGCAGCACGATTTCAAGACGAAAGCCAAATGTAAAGCGTATACGGCTGAGTTTATTTGACGTCACGTGATTTGTAGCTGCCTCGATACCCCACTCCGAAAGAATCGGCGCCAGTGGAAATTCCCTTCGCGTTTATAAATAATGAGCTGACGCGTTTCGAGACAGGAAGAGCGAAATGGGTGAGCGCGCTATCAGATAAAACAGGAAACTCGAGGTGGTGACGCATTCTGAAATAGGGAAGCCCTGTCGCCTGACAGCTGATCCACAGACATGCTTAAAAATGCGGGACGTGGCTCCTTATCTTTGCGAATGTTGCTTCGCGATTCGTGTCCGGCGTTTGCAAAAGAACGAGGAAAAAAAAAAAACAATGGCACTTTTTTTTTTTTTACAGCGGATTTGTTAAAGGTTAGTTTCCCCAGGATCGCGTCCGGTACCAAACAACTGTCGACATAACACTCTGGTTTCCGCCGTCGCTCATAGATGGCGGTACCTGTCGAGACTCGTGTTTGCGGGTTGTCTGCTTGCCGCCGTCGCTCAGATATCGCGGCAACCAGACAACTGGCAGCTGCCGTCGCTCATAGACGACGGAAGAAGAGCGGGAACGGAACGAGCAGCGATGCGCGCGGCAGCGCGAATGGTTCCGCAACCGCCGCGAAGCCGCTATCGCCTCAAGTTCCACTGCGTCGAGCTCTTCAGACTCCCTTGCAAAAGAAGAGCAGATCGCTCGCCTGGAAAGCCACCGTAGAGAACAGAAGCTACAGCTCCGCGGCTCTTCCTTTTTCACCAGAGTGGAAAAACTAAAAGTTTTTTTTCTTTTTTTCTTAACGCGAAACGTTTTTTGGTTATTTGCTCCGGATTTTGTGAAGCCAGATTTGATGAAGCCGGAGCCTGCCACGTCCCATAATGCAAGGCCCATAGTGTTGCATTATGGCGCGTCGCAGACCTAAACACCAGTTCAGTTTCTCCGCTAATTTTAGCGGGGAAGTTGAATCGGTGCATAGGTCGCGTGACATCAAGTAACGTGACGTCAGTTTCCCCCCTAAATTACCGAGAAAATCAACGTCCCGTGACCCACGCATCAATTCCTTTTCCCCGGTAAATTTAGCGGGGAAATTGAAGTCAGGTGACCTGATGTCACGTGACCTGTACGACAATTTAGTTTCTCCTCTAAATTAAGCGGGAAAATTAACGTCACGTGACCTACACACCAATTCAGCGTTCCCGCGAAATTTAGCGGGGAAATTGACGCCGCGTGACCTGATGTGACGTGATCCTAGAACGTTTTACGTGTGGAACGCCATTGTACAGCAATTTGCCACACACTTTTTTTTTCTTTTTCTATATATCTGCAATTTTACCCGAATTTAGTAAGCATTCGGGTCTTTAAACTATTGACTATTCTAACCTCCGACTTCAAGGGACGCGAATATGTCTGAGAGATATTGGAAACCAAAAAGAACTAGAACAAATGTAATCGTGGCGATTCGACGCGCAGTTCGACGCGGATATTTTTACTCGCTCGGTTTATTTTACCCGCGGATTATGCTGTTCAATACTCCACGAAAATACGTAGATGTAACGTTAATGAAATCACGCGTTCCAAGCTCAGAAATGTATATACGAGAACGCGTTACTTTCGAAAAACTGGAACTTGTAACGGGAACTCGTTCCAAGATTGCGAAGGAACGAGCTTCCGTTTTTGATTGGGGGCAACGTGTACCACACTGCTCCGGAGAGATCATAAGACGCTAGGAATTGGAGACGCACTACGTGTCTCAAGGGGTAGCACACGGGAGAAAAATCCCTCCCTTTGCTCCCTAGGGTGCGCATCAGGTGGACGCATTCTGAGCGGAGCCGCGCTGACGTAGACGTCTCAGGGGGGAGTCATTAGGGAGTTTTCGTAGACCGCGTTTCCCCCTCCGCTCAGCCCACCGCAACGAAGAAGCCGCTACTGCGCCGGCGCGCCCATGGCCTCGTCTGTAGAGTTCCGTCTAGCGCAGCTGGTTGTGGAGAGCCGTTGCGGGACAGCGGAAACGATCTACGAAAGCTCCCTTTTGTTCGGGCTGCGCAAACGACGCAAACAGTCCCCGTCTCCTTGGTGCTG